CTCCAGCGGAGGGAGCCGGGGGCGGATCAGCCCCTCCCAGGCCGGGCAGGAGCGGGGTCAGAAACGTTCGGAGGGGAAGGCGAGCGCCCAGGAGAAAGCTGAACAAAATGGGTCCTGCACGGTTAAGGCACTGGATTCGATTAGTAAATTACCTTGCGAGATGCACGGTGAAAATCACCCCTGTGAGTCAGTGTTGTACACGGTACCCTCAGCAGGTAACTTTAAAAACTACAACATAGACCTCATTGAAATATGCTTTTAATTTGTTCCTTCGTTTAACAGACAGTACACACAGCTTGCATATGCGTGCATGAAATTTGATTTATACACGCAAGTCTGGGGGCGTGGTTTGGCAAAAGGAATAATTGTGAGTTCAGTAAGAGTCACAGGGTACAGTCAGGTTACCGAAAAGGACAGATGAACTGGAAAAAAATCAGTTTATGACATGAAGCCCTAACATTCATCTTTTCATGGTCTTGAACATCTTGTACCAAATCGACACTATGCAGCCAAAATTTCTAATTAGACTTAGAAAATGCACGTATTGAGCTGTGGGCCAAACGTCGAATAAAAAAATCCAGCCTTATAGATACATGAATAACATCTGCAGTGTAAGAGTTACATATCTACACGCTACCTCCCCCAGTTCTGGGGATTGAGCCCAGGGCCTTGGTACTGTGCGGGCCCTCTGCCCGGAACTACAGCCCCAGCCTCAGCAAAATCGTTCAGTCATTAACTTAGTATATGTGTGATTCATTGGTAGGTATGTCACTGTGTAACCATTAGGATTAATCACACCGCACAGAAAAATCTCTTCTGAATTTATGAGAATTTCTTTTTTTACAGTTTGTAATGTTGATATGATCTGGATTCAGTAAGGACTTAGTTGAGTCTGTTCAACAAACTATCAAATTCATACATCGAAGGAATGAATTAATGTTTAAGCAATATTCTCTAGTGGCTACAGCCATGAATTAAATTGTCATGAGTAAGTGGTGCCCGCCCGTCTGACTCACGTGTAATCCTGGTATGGTGGAAATAAGGGTTACAACCTGCCCGCCTCACCAGAGGTGGGACGAGCACAACCTCACCACAAGTGCTTTGAGTCCTTAGGAAGAAAGGAGGATGATGTTCAGCTACTATAAATAGCACCACTCTTAAGACTATCATACCTAAAATTACAAAAGTATCACTGCTACAACTGTATCACCAGTTTTTAAAACTGTACATAGTCAAGTACTAACAAACAGTATAGAAGGCTGGATTCTGACAAAATGTTTGGCCTGTTTCCTCGGTATCATTGTTCAGAAAATGGCTCATGCTGTGCAGTGGACATTGGAGAAAATCAGTATTACTCTAATAATAATAGAATTATACATAAGATATATAATAGTATCTACTACTAGTGTTAGTATGCTA